TTGGCCAGCAGCAGGTCCACCTTGGAGCCAGCTGGTGTTGGCTCCGTTAGGGAGGGGAGAAGCTTCTAGCAGCTTCTTCCAGCAGCTTCTCACAGAAGCCAGCCCTGTAGCACCCCACTTTGGTACTACACTACCCTGTAGTACCAAAACCTTGCCATATGAACCTAATACGCTTATTAAAATTATTCCAATTTATATTAATACATTGTGGTAGTAGTCACATGTCTAAATTGGGTTTGGGTTGAACTACACCAACAACTTTTCAAATAGAAACAAGTGACAAATCAGATGCAGTACAACAGTCAAAAAACATAAGTACAATAATTAAAAAACATAGTAGGACTCTTCTACTCATCATTGAGAAACAGCAAGACAAATATCACAAATGTGAGAGACAACATGCAAAAGGAGCAGAAACAAACAGGGGGAGAAGGAAGGTCACAGCTCACTGCCTGCAATCCCATGCTTTGGGAGTACAGCACAGTAGTGCCTGTAGAGATTTTTAGAAGCTTCTCCCCTAGAAAGGAGAAAATACAGCAATTTTTGCTGGAGAATCTGAATGACAGACAACAAAGGCTGCGAATTTGGGAACTGAAAGTGGAAAGTTGGTATAAAATATACTATTGGATCATCCAGGAACTCCAACATAATTAAATCAACTAAAAAGGCAGGAAAAAGACAACTAACCTAAAAAGCTAAACTAAAAGGAAGAGATGGTAGAATATCCATGCTGGAAGGCCTCAAATAAAGAGTGATCTACCAGTATATATTTTAAATAACACATCAGATGTTAAATCTAACTTTTTGCAATAACTTTTGATGGCATCTCAGGGATGAAAATTTGTGGGGTTTCTTTAACTGACATCAAAATTCACTGTAAAAGCAGAAGAGCTGTAGCTTTTGTGGCTTTTACAGACATGTAAAGCAACCTGTGTGAAAACATGAATTCATGCACATACACACAACATTCTGAGTATCAGTAGTTATTGTCACTAACATTGCAGAATAACTACTATTGCAACTAACGTGAGAATATTTTAGCTGCCCGCAGACTTCATAACTTTAATTCACTATTCTTAGTTTCTCTCAACAGAAAAGTCTTTCAAAAAGCTTTTACATACTGTAGAAAAGAGGTGGCTGGAATACTGTCACTACAGCCTTTGACAGCTAGATGAGTAAAAGACTTGTTTCTCCAAAATTAACACTTTCACAAGCACTTCGAATATCAGCACTTAAATACACGGAGATGTACGTGCTAAATCTGATAAATCGTGGCACGCTACCAAGTGCATGGGTTTGCCTCCCTCTACCGGCTCACATGTGTATAGCTACTGGCCGAAAAGCACACACAGACATCTTTTGTGTCAAAACTCTTGATCTTTGTATCATTTAAACCCAGGATTAAATCATCCCAATTTTGGAAACAGATTTTCAATGCCCAAGGTGAAGGCACTCGCCTGACCTGTATAAATAAGGCAATTTTATCTTTGTTAAAAGCAGAGTTTTTCTCACGTCTCACAGCGTGACGTTCTTGATGGGCAGAAAAGAGCTGTCCGAAATTCAACGAAGGCAAAAAGGTTCTGCACCTGGGGGAGAATAACCCCACGCACCAGCACAGGCTGGGGGCTGACCTGCTGGAAAGTAGTTCTGCAGAGAATGAACTGGGGGTGCTGGTGAACAACAAGCTGTCCAAAATCTGATACAAAATGATGAAAGAAAAATGCTAGAAAAAGTGTTATCAGTACCCGTGAAGTTACAACACTTTCCTTCAAAAATTTGCCTCTTTGGTGAACGCAAGTACCTTCCTCTTATTTCTCAGCGCACTTTTGCCCTTTTAACCCCTTTCAGCTGAAAATCTACATTCTCTGTTTGAAAACAGTTACTTTTCTCTTTTCACTAAGACTGATCTCCAGAAACTTATAATTGCTGCAATGGATCAGGGCCAAGACTGACCTTGAGGTTCTTGGCATTCTACCCCTGCTATTTGTAATAAGTGACCACAACTTCACAATACACACACGTGTTAATGAATATCCACATTTTGCCTCTCCAAAATGAAGTACATATACTGGCTTTAACTCTGAAATATTGCACTAATAACTCTATCAAAATGCTTATCCATAGCTATCCATGTTTTCCATATACGTACTTTAAAAACTGCAGGTTATACTGCAGAAATCCTTGATGGTGCAATGGCAAGGCCGTATTTACTCTACTGTGGTGACAGAAAAGGCTCACTGAAGAAAAAGTTCAAATTCTGTTATTCAAAATATTACTGATTTAAAAGTAGATCAATATTACCCCGAAGTGAATTGCACCCACAAAAGGGAAGCCAAATTAGAGCATAAACAAAGACACATTGGATCAGATTCAAATAAAAGAGCAATGTGGTTTGCATGTTCAAAGATAAAAAGGAACTTATGAAAGATAAGTGGAAGCACTGGGCTTTCTGCTGGTTTCAGAAACTGGGCTCCCTGCAAATCCTGCACAAGCACTAGTTTGCTTTCAAAGGCAACCCAAAAAGATCTAGTTAAGGAAGGGTTATTAACTTTTACTATACATTCTCAAATTACCATGGAAACAAAACCAGACACTTGCAGGCGCTGTATCCACCTAATGCCTGGGCTTTCTCCTCACATCATCACACAGAATGAACTATACCGGTGGTTCTTGTCTAATCTACTGAGAACTGAGGGGGAGGAAATCTTGTTATCAGACTTCTCGTCTGATCAGTTTTTGTTTTAATTTAATTTTTATTTTTATTTCAAATATGTGTGTTCCATTTACAAAATATGCAACCTGTACTGGTATTATACTGGTACTGGAATTTTAGTTATGTAAGCACACTACATGTAACACAATATGCTTTGGCTCCAAGTCAGAGCACACTCCCTAAACAGTGCACATTAAAATAAAATACTAAGTGACTCCTGACACTATTTTTCTGTCCCTACCCCTTTTCAGGACACTGTCACTCTTGTGACATCTGCGCATCTGTAGATCGGCTGAGTTTCACAACATTCACATCAGTATCGGCTCACAGCACAGAGCACTACAGTTAAAGTACACAGAAGTCCAGGTTCTAGAAAAACTTCCCATTTTATTCAAGGGAAAGCTTTAAAAATAGAATTTACTTCAGAGCACATAGCAGTCGTGGCTGTGCATTGTTGAAGTCTGCTCAAAGCTGTGTTACTACTGCAGTGGGCTTTTCACCTAATTTTAAGTGAATTTACCAATTGTAACTAATCTCCACAGCCCCTGCAGTCATCAATCCTTTACCAGAAGCACTGGTTTAGCACCTCTCTTATTAGGGTTGTGCAAAACATCTCGAGTCAGCTTAAATCCATCCCAGAAGTCCTCCTGTTGAAAGCCAGAGAGGCTCTTTTTGTTCTGAGCTCCACAGCAGTATTCAGCAATGCCCCACCAGCTGCCCAGGGATGGAAAGGGGTTGTCGTATTTCATGGAAAAAGCTAAGGCTAAAGAAATAGCAGCCAGATAGTATTAATGACAAGTCTCATCCCGAAACACACAAAAAAAAATCATGGAAGATTATATTTTTTGAGGGGGGGGGGAACCCCTACCCCCCAAAACCTTATAATCCTGAACATCAGATACACAGGGCATTAGCTATCCATGAGCAAGCACCAGAAGACAAAATTTTCCCTAATCTCACCACCAACATCCTTCCATCGTCAGTCCATGGCTCCTTTCTTTCACAAACTGCCTGAAGATAAACTTCGAAAAGTTAAAAGACTTTTAGGAGAACGCCTTCCTCTCTTCTTTTACCAAATGCAACTGCCAGAGCCTAACGCGCCCCTGAAACACCACGTTCCCGGCTCAGAAATAAAACCACTGGGTGAAAACACCTGTCCTTCCATAGGGGAACTCCGCAGCGCCGGGAAAGTGCGCTCTGCCGTGTGAGACAGACCCCGGGAGGTTAAGAACTTGGGAGTCTGGGGGG